TTCTTTCTTTCTTTCTTTCTTTCTTTCTTTGACAGAGTCAGACAGTGAGAGAGACAGAGAGAAAGGTCTTCCTTCCGTTGGTTCCCCCCACAAATGGCCGCCATGGCTGGAGCTACGCCGATCCGGAGCCAGGAGCCGGGTGCTTCCTCCTGCTCTCCCATGCGGGTGCAGGGCCCAAGCACTTAGGCCATCCTCCACTGCCTTCCCGGGCCACGGCAGAGAGCTGGACTGGAAGAGGAGCAACCAGGACTAGAACCCGGCGCCTATATGGGATGCCGGCGCTATGGGTGGAAGATTAACCAGGTGAGCCATGGCGCCAGCCCCAAGTACTCTTATTTCTTCATATGGCTCCAAATATCCTTTTCCTTTCTGCATGAAAGACTTACTTTAGCTTTTTTGTTCAGGAAAGGTCTTTTGTGTTTTTCTGCTTTTCTGGGAATGAGAAAATTTCTGCTGTACTTTTAACAGAGAGTTTTCCTAGATATAGAATTCTCGGTGGACAAGTTTTGGCTCTCACCATTTTGTTTCTATGCTTCTTTTTTTTTTTTTTTTAAGATTTATTTTATTTTATTTATTGAAAGGTAGAGTTACAGAGAGAGGTAGAGACAGAGGTTTTTTTTTTTTTAACTTTTATTTAATGAATATAAATTTCCAAAGTACAGCTTATGGATTACAATGGCTTCCCCCCCATAACGTTCCTCCCACCCACAACCCTCCCCTTTCCCACTCCCTCTCCCCTTCCATTCACATCAAGATTCATTTTCGATTAGAGAGAGGTCTTTTCATCCACTGGTTCACTCCCCAGATGGCCGCAACGGCCGGAGTTGAGCCAAGTGAGCCACGGCGCCAGCCGCCCTCTATGCTTTCTTAAGAAAAGTTAACTGTTAATGTTACAGATCATCTCTTCTATGTGGTATCAATTCTCTCTTGCTTTCTGCATTCTGAGTCTTTGGTCTTGATAAGTTGACAGTCATGTGTCTTGCCATGAGTCTCTTCTGTCTTATCCTTCTTGGAGTTCCTTGATCCTTGGGAATCCTTGATTCCATGTAATTTAGAAAACATTTGTTCAATTTTTTTTCCATTTTTGTTTATTTCTCTTCTCTTCTTTTGGGACTGCTATTACATGGTGGTATGGTTTCTGTTCATCGCACTGAGGACTTTTTGAATATTAGGTTTCAGATTCAGAGTGGTATTTAAATACTTTAGGACAGATATTGATACTTTCGTTTTAGAAGGCAGTCTAGATGATTAGGTGCCAGCCATAAGGTGCCACCTTCCTTCTGTACACTGTAGTTCCAGCACCTGTTCAGTTCTCAGTCTTTGCAGTGATCTTTGTATCTGTCCATCATATACCGCTGGAAGGCCAGCAGGAGACCTAGGCATTTCTAAAAGTCTTTGGTGTGCTGAATAACGTCAGATCCAAGTATGGGCAGTTTAGAAGTGGTCCCAAGGTGTTCATAAACTACAGGGTCACTTTTCCAAATTCCTCCCTCACAGTTATCCTCCTGTTACTTTCTAGTCTCTTAATGCTCTGTTTTTGGTCAAGTTTTGTCTACCTTGCTCTACTATGTACTTCCATGAGCACATCTGTGTTCAGGTCCATGTGATGAGAGGATGGGGAGGATAAAAGAAATAGAGGCCACACTTTGGGAAGCATAGTTGCACTGAAAATAGTAAGATTTTCCTTCTGCATTTTCAACTTTAAAAAAAAATAAAATTATTCATTTTATTTATTAGCAAGGCAAAGACAGACACACAGAGTGCTCCCATTAGCTAGTTCTCTCTTCGAATGTCTACAATAGCATAGACAAGACCAGGTCAAAGCCAGGAGCCGAGGATTCTATCTATCACCCATGTGGGTGGCACCAGTTAACTGAGCCACGCCCTGCTGCCTCCCAGTGTTTGCATAAGCAGGAACATATAGCAGGTAGCACTGCTGGTGGATGAACCCAGGCACTCCCATACGGGATGTGGGTGTTCCAAGCAGCATCTTAACTGCTTGGCCACATAGCTGCAATAGTTTGGACTCTTCTTCGCCCAGTTACCTAAATCTGATACAACTTCCACCCCAGAATTTTTGAGGGACTAGGACAAAGAAAATAAAGGAAAAAGATGTAGGGGGATGAGGTATTTTCACACTCTTTGAGTATTAAGCATTTTTCCTCTTCCAACCAGGACTCCAGGCTGTCTCCTACAGTTGTCACCACCCTGGTGCCCCCCTTCTGGTTGGCTGACATGTACCTAGGAACTCACAGGCACTTGAGTTCTGTTCTTCTCTCCCCATCCACCTGCCACTATGTGCTCACCACAGTTCTGCAATAACTGCCCTGCCATTATTCCCGGCTTTAGAGCGATAGTCAGTGGGAGAGTCTGGGTACAGTATGCTTACTCCATCTTACCTCCAAATGGAACACTTATGTATTTTTTAGAGTAAGTTTTAATGTATTACACATCCCAAGTTGATGTGAATTGAACTGCTGAGTTGCTTTTCTTGTCAGGAATGGTTAAAGCTACTCTTTCTATATTGGTATTTTAAAAAGAAGTAGACCTAAAATAATTCTTTTCATTTAATGAAACAATTTCTTGTGAATTATCCTTTGTAGGTATTAATTCACAAAATTTATGGTGACAATAGTGAGATTTTCTAGTATTTATCATGCACTTCACGTTGCTTCTGGAATTTAATTTTCCCAATAATTTCATGTGGTAAGTGTACTGAGTTGTTCAAATCCCCCAAAAGTTTATGTCACACAAAATGCCAGGATGTGACCTTATCTGGAAACAGTCTTGGCTGATAAAATTATTTAAGTTAAGCTAAGTTTATACTAGGTTAAGGTGGGTCCAATCCAATGACTGGTGTCTTTATAAAATGAGAAAACAAGGACCCTGAGGTTTAGGGAAGAGCACCATGTATGACAGAGGAAGAGACTACAGTAACGATCCAGGAGCCGCAGAACGCCATGGATACATGACAGCAAAAGACCAAGAATTACTTCCTAGAATCTTGAGAAGTAAGTCTCTGCTGGTTCTTTGGGCTTGGACTTTCAGCTTCCAGAACTATAAGAATAAATGTCTTTTGATTGAAGCCACACACTTTGTGGTAATTTGTTATGGTAGTGCCTTACAAGTGAAAGCAGCAATATTATATCTGCTTTATAGAGAGTCTTCAGGTTGAAATCTGCTCAAGAAATTGCAAAACTGTCAAGTTGTCCAGCTCCAGAGCCATGCATTTCTAGTCACCATACTCTAATACTCAGCAGGGAACTGGGTTGATAAATCAATCAGCCACAAAAATGTTTTAAGGTGACTGCAAAAATGATTCATTCAAACAAATCGTAGCAGCCAGGATGGCTAAAGGTGACCCCAAGAAGCCAAGGGACAAGATGTCTGCTCACACTTTCTTTGTGTGCACACACATGCAGAGAATATATAAAAAGAAAATCCCAGAAGCCCCTGCCAATTTTGCAGACTTTTCCAAGAAGTGCTCTGAGAGGTAGAAGACCATGTCTGGGAAAGAGAAATCTAAATGTGAGGAAATGTTGAAGGTGGACAAAGTATGCCACTATGATTGGGAAATGAAGGATTATAGAACAGCTAAGGAGGCAAGAAAAAAAAAAGGACCCAAATGCCCCTAAAGGACAATCATCTGGATTCTTCCTATTTTGTTCAGAATTCTGCTCCTAGATCAAACCTACAAATCCCGAAATCTCCATTGGAGAAGTGGTCAAAAAACTGGGGGAGATGTGGAATAGCCTGAATGATAGTGAAATGCAGCCACACATCACTAAGGCAGTGAAGCCAAAGAAGTATGAGAAAGATGTTGCTGACTAAGTCTAAAGGAAGGGTCCTGCCAAAGTTGGCCAGAAAAAGGAGGAAGAGGAAGACAAAGAGGACGAGGAGGAAGATGAAGAGGAGGAGGAGGAGGATAAAGAAAACACTGCTGTTTCATCTCCCTTAGAGTAGGGGAGTGCCATGACTGGCACATCTCTCATTTGAGACATGTCTGTTGCCCTGATTAGCTTTTGTTACAAATATTCAGTGCAATCATTGTAGTTTCTCAAAGTGCTCTAGAAACTGTCAGTGGTTTACATGATGTAGCCATGGGTGTCTGGAGCATCCTGAAACTGTATCAAAGGTGTACACATTTTCAAATGTTTCTAAAGGAAAAGGCAGGGACAAGTGCTGTGGTGTAGAGGGTAAAGCTGCAGCTTCCTGTGCTGGCATCCCATACGGGCACAAGTTTGTGTCCTGACTGATCCACTTCTGATTCAGCTCCCTGGATATGCACCTGGGAAAACAATGGAAGATAGCCCAAGTCCCTGGGCCCCTGCACCCATGTGGGAGACCCACAAGAAGCTCCTGGCTCCTGGCTTTGGATCAGCCTAGCTCCCTCTGTTGCAGGTAGATGGAAGATTCTTTCTCTCTCTCTCTCTCCACCTCTCCATTTCTGCCTTTCAATTAGATAAACAAATCTTTAAAAAAAAAAAAAAAAAAAGGTGGCCGGCGCTGCGGCTGACTAGGCTAATCCTCCGCCTAGCGGCGCTGGCACAGGGGGTTCTAGCCCCGGTTGGGGCGCCGGATTCTGTCCCGGTTGCCCTTCTTCCAGGCCAGCTCTCTGCTGTGGCCCGGGAGTGCAGTGGAGGATGGCCCAAGTACTTGGGCCCTGCACCCCATGGAAGACCAGGAGAAGCACCTGGCTCCTGCCATCGGATCAGCGCGGTGCGCCAGCCGCAGCGCGCCAGCCGTGGCGGCCATTGGAGGGTGAACCAACGGCAAAGGAAGACCTTTCTCTCTGTCTCTCTCTCTCTCACTGTCCACTCTGCCTGTCAAAAAAAAAAAAAAAAAAAAGTAAAGGAATTCTCCTGTTCTTCTTACTCTGTGCACTTTGCTGTTGGTGTGACAAGGCATTTCAAGATGTTTCTGGCATTTTCATTTAATTTGTAAGTGGTGTAAACTCTATGGTTATGAGCTAGAGCTCCTGAGTTACCAACTGTACATACCTAGCTATAGTTTGTAAAATGAGCCCAACAACTGAGACAAACTCAAGATGTTCCTTGCGTGGCACTGAGGCTTTGGGAAGGCGCCACTGCAGGGGCTGGCGCTCCAGGCTGTCTTGTTTTGGTATACAGGGACATAGTATTCTGCTGCCACTCGTAGCTGTGGAAAAAAGAGGGGATCAGTTGGCATGACAAGGTTTTTTTTTTGTTTGTTTGTTTGTTTTTTTGATAATTGCAGTAGTTTCTAAACTGGTTTTTAAACAAACTGTAGAACTCTTCAGTGTTAGCAAAGCAAAGAACCACTGCCATCAATGAAAGTTCAAGAACCTGTACTTAAACACACTTTGCAACATTGTTATTTTTTGTAGGTTTAGAATGTGCAAATGTTTAATGTTAAATAAGCAATATTGCACTAAAAATAAAGGAAAATAAAGTGAGACATCTATATAATGTACTGACAATATCAAACTGATATTCTTGTCTCTGCAGATCTGATGATAGGAAAATCTACTTTTGGCTGTATCAGAGATGAGTTTACCTGACTTATTTACTGCAGCAGTGATAAACAATAACAGTTATAACAATAAATGATTGTAAACATTTGTTAAGTGATCCTATGTCAGGTACTTTATTTTCTTTTTCTTAGTAAACTTTTTTCCCCCAGAAACCTTTCATTTAAGGTATATTAAAGCACCTTCATGAAGGTACTTTATTTTTTCCCTTCAAAATTTTTTAAATTTTCATTTATAACTAGTTTTTTTCAATGTGAGTTGTAGATACAATTTTTTTAACTAAAACTTTTTTCTTTACTAGTTTTCTTTTTCTTTTACAAGAGAATAATCATTGTACTACAAAAGCATGTAGACTCCATAATTTAAAAAATTAAATGTCAGATATACAAGTAATGGCATTTTATCCAATAATTCACAATTTTTACAATTTCTGGTATTTTGGGACAAATACTAAAATTTCCACAATTTAAGTATCATTAAGTATGAATTGAAACACTTAGCATCTTGAAGAATCAAGAACGGCAGAACTTGCAATTAACTTACTACTTACCTTGGTGATACACCTCCCCTTTGCTATCTTATTCCTTAAATATACATTTTTTTAATATTTTCATGTAAATAGTTCTGGCTTGAAAATTTCTTAAAGTAATTGTGAAGACCCTTGAGGTTGTACATTTTTGTTAAATTATGTGATAACCTTGAAATGTAAGATGTCTACCCAAATTACATAAAATATGTTTGTAGATACAATTCTAAGAACATATTCTCAGGGCTGGTGCTGTGGCACAGCAACTTAACGCCCTGGCCTGAAGCGCTGGTATCCCACATGGACGCTGGTTCTAGTCCTGGCTGCTCCTCTTCAATCCAGCTCTCTGCTATGGCCTAGGAAAGTAGTAGAAGATGGCCCAAGTCCTTGGGCCCATGTACTCACGTGGGAGACCTGGAAGAAGCTCTGACTCCTGGCTTTGAATCAGCTCAGCTCCGGCTGTTGTGGCCCTCTGGGGAGTGAACCATCAGATGGAAGACCTCTCTCTCTGTCTCTACCTCTCTCTGTAACTCTTCCATAAAATAAAATAAATCTTTAATAAAAAATATTCTCTTCCTTCCTCCCTCCCTTCCTCCCCTTCTCTCTTTCCTTTTCTTTTCTTTTTAAGTTTTTGAGATAACAGATTTTAAATTTGCATTACAGTAAAAAAGGCTTAATACTTTACCAAATAAGAAGTTTAACAAGTAAAAAGCATAAAGATCACAGTTTCATGGGAATATAGACAATGGCTATAAACAATAATTGACTGGAAAAATGTACAGTAAATTTTAAAGTAATCACAGATCATTAAAACTGTAGTAGTATAACATTCCCTTTTTAAAAGATTTATTTGAAAGTCAGAGTTACAGAAAGAGGGAGAGCAAGAGCAAGAGAAAGAATCTTCCATTGCTGGTTCATTCCCCTAATGGCTGCAACCACTGAGGCTGGGCCAGGCTGAAGCCAGCAGCCAGGAACGTCTTCCAGGTCTCCCATGTGGGTAGCAGTGGCCCAGGCACTTGGGCCATCTTCCATTGCTTTCCCAGGCACATCAGCAGGGAGCTGGGTTGGAAGTGGAGCAGCTGGGTCTCAAACCAGTGCCCATATGAGACGATGGCATTGGCTTTAACCTGCTATGACAAAACTCTGGCCCTAAGTATAACATTCCTACCCATTGGTTTGACAAAGGTATACAAAAAAGTTATTTAAAAGTACATTTGCAACAATACTGATACACAGATTTCTTTTTTCTTTATTTTTTTCTTTTTTTTTTTTAAATTTTATATGAGGGAGAATATGCAGTATTTGTCCTTCTGGGTCTGGCTTGTATCACTCAACGTGATGTCCTCCAGTTGTATCCATTTTGCTGAAAATGGTTCTGTTGGCTTATATTTCTTTCTTTTTTTTAATTTAAAGATTTATTTATTTACTTGAAAGTCAAAGTTACACAGAGAGAGAAGGAGAGGCAGAGAGAGAGATAGAGAGATAGAGAGATAGAGAGATAGAGAGAGAGAGAGGTCTTTGATCCACCGGTTCACTCCCCATTCGGCTGCAATGGCCGGAGCGGTACCAATCCGAAGCCAGGATCCAGGAGCCTCCTCCAGGTTTCCCTGGTGCAGGGGCCCTAGGGCCTGGGTCATCCTCCACTGCCTTCCCAGGCCACAGCAGAGGGCTGGATCTGAAGTGCAGCAGCTGAAACTTGAACTGGTGCCCATATGGGATGCCGGCACTGCAGGCGGCGGCTTTACCAGCTATGCCACAGTGCCGGCCCCAATGGGAGACTTTCAATTACTGCTTCAATCCCACTGCTTGTTATGGGTCTGTTTAGGTTGGCTATACATTGTTGATTTAATCTTTGCAGGTTATATGAATCCAGGAATTTAATCATTTCTTTGATGTTTTCCAGTTTATTAGCATATAGTTTTCATAGCAGTTTCTTTCTTTTTTTTTTCTTTTTGACAGGCAGAGTGAATAGTGAGAGAGAAAGAGACAGAGAGAAAGGTCTTCCTTTTTGCTGTTGGTTCACCCTCAAATGGCCGCCATGGCCGGCGCGCTGTGGCCGGCCCACCGCACTGATCCGAAGGCAGGAGCCAGGTGCTTCTCCTGGTCTTCCATGGGGTACAGGGCCCAAGCACTTGGGCCATCCTCCACTGCACTCCTGGGCCACAGCAGAGAGCTGGCCTGGAAGAGGGGCAACCGGGACAGAATCCAGCGCCCGGACCGGGACTAGAACCCGGTGTGCCGGCGCCGCAAGGCGGAGGATTAGCCTAGTGAGTTGCGGCGCCAGCCTCTCATAGTAGTTTCTTATGATCCTTTGGATTTCAATAGTTTTGATTGTAACGTCTCCTTCTTCATCTCAAATTTTGAATTTTTTTCTCTCTTTGATAGTCTGGCCAGAGGTTTATCTATTTTATTTATCTTCTCAAAAAACCAACATTTTGTTTTGCTGATTTTTTGTATTTTTTTAGCTTCAACTTCATTTATTTCTGCTTTGATCCTTATTATTTCTCACCTCCTGGTCATTATATCAATCTGAGACTTTTCCTCTTTTTAAAACGTGAGTACTTAATGCTACAAATTTCTTTCTTAATACTGCTTTTGTTGTATCTCACAGGTTTTGATATTTGTGTTTTCATTTATTTCAAGAAAGAATTTGATGTCCTTTTATTTATTTTTTTTATTTTATTTTTTTTTTGACAGGCAGAGTGGACAGTGAGAGAGAGAGACAGAGAGAAAGGTCTTCCTTTTGCCGTTGGTTCACCCTCCAATGGCCACCGCGGCCGGCGCGCTGCGGCCGGCGCACCGCGCTGATCCAATGGCAGGAGCCAGGAGCCAGGTGCTTTTCCTGGTCTCCCATGGGGTGCAGGGCCCAAGCACCTGGGCCATCCTCCACTGCACTCCCTGGCCACAGCAGAGGGCTGGCCTGGAAGAGGGGCAACCGGGACAGAATCCGGCGCCCCGACCGGGACTAGAACCCGGTGTGCCGGCGCCGCTAGGCGGAGGATTAGCCTAGTGAGCCGCGGCGCCGGCCTTGATGTCCTTTTAAATTTATTCAATGACCCATTGATTATTCAGTAATGTGTGGTTCAATTTCCAAGCATTTAAGAGTGAGTGTTCTATTGTTTCTCATGTTGATTTGTAGTTTTATTCCTTTTTGGTCTGAGAAGATACATGGAATGATTTCAATCTTTTAAAATTTGCTGAGACTTGATTGTGGCCTAGTATATGGTTTATCCTAGAAAATGTTCCATGTTATGATAAGAATGTGTATTCGTTAGCTGTGGGGTGAAATGTCCTGTAAATGTCTGTTAGGTCCATTTATCTGACAACGTTTCAACTCTGATGTATCTTTATCAGTTTTCCATCTGGATGACCTGATGAAAGTGGGGTGTTGGAATCACCCACTATTAACGTACAGGGACCTATCTCTTACTTTAGGTCTTACTTTAGGTATTTGTTGTATATAGCAGGATAGCCTTATTTTGGATGCATATATATTTATGATTTTTATGTCTTCTTGCTGAATAGAGCCTTTCAAGGAAATATAATGTCCTTCTTTACCACTTTTTACAGTTTTTTATTTAAAGTCTTTTTAATCTGATATCAGGATAGCTGTGCCTGCTTGCTTTTGGTTTCCATTTGCCTGGTATATTTTTTTCCAACCCATCATCTTCAGTCTGTGTATATCTTTGTGAAGTGAATTTCTTTTTTTTAATGTTTATTTATTTATTTATTTGAGAGGTAGAGTTACAGAGAGAGGGACAGACAGAGAGAAAGGTCTTCCATCTGCTGGTTCACTCCCCAAATGGCTGCAATCTCCAGATCTGGGCCAATCCGAAGCCTGGAGCTTGTTCCAGGTCTCCCACGTGGGTGCAGGGGCCCAAGCACTTAGGCCATCTTCTACTGATATCCCAGGAAGTAGCAGAGAGCTGGATCAGAAGATGGGCAGCCAGGACATAAACTGGCATCTACATGGGATACTGGTGCCGCAGGCGGTTTTTTGTAGACAGAATATTGCAGGGTCCTGATTTTTTGTTTTAAGATTTATTTTACTTATTTGAAAGACAGAGTTATAGAGAGAGTTAGAGACAGAGAGAGAGAGGTCTTTCATCTGCTGGTTCACTCCCCAGATGTCCACAATGGCTGGAGCTGTGCTGATCCGAAGCCAGGAGCAGAGCTTCTTCTGGGTCTCCCATGCTGGTGCAGGTGCCTAAGGACCTGGGCCATCTTCCACTGCTATACCAGGCCACAGCAGAGCTGGATCGGAAGTGGAGCAGCCAGGACTAGAACTGGCGCCCATATGGGATGCTGGCGCTTCAGGCCAGGGCTTTAACCCGCTGCGCCACAGTGCCAGCCCTGGGTCCTGATTTTTTTTTTTTAATTTGATAGGTAGAGTCAAAGACAGTGAGAGAGAGAGACAGAGAGAAAGGTCTCCGTTGGTTCACTCTCCAAATGGCTGCTACGGCCGGAGCTAAGCCGATCCAAAGCCAGGAGCCAGGTGCTTCTTCCTGATCTCCCATGTGGGTGCAGGGGCCTAAGGACTTGGGCCATCTTCCACTGCCCTCCCAGGCCACAGCAGAGAGCTGGACTGGAAGAGGAGCAACTGGGGCTAGAACCTGGCACCCATATGGGATGCCAGCACCACTGGCGGAGAATTAACCAAGTGAGCCACAGCGCTGGCCCCTGGGTCCTGATTTTTTATTTAGTCATCCAACCTAGGTCTTTTGCTTGATGAATTTAATCTATTTACATCAAGGTTAGTACTGATAGGTTGGAACTAAAACCTGACATTTTGTTGATTGGATAACAATTCTATCTGCTCTGTCACTGAATTTGGTGTTGACATGTATTCCATTTTTACTTATAACAAAGGACACCTTTCAGAATTTTTTTTAAAGATTTATTTATTTATTTGAAAGTCAAAGTTATACAGATAGAGAAGAGGCAGAGAGAGAGAGAGAGAGGGAGAGGGAGTCTTCCATCCGATGGTTCACTCCCCAGTTGGCCACAACGGCTAGAGCTGTGCCGATCCAAATCCAGGAGCCAGGAGCCAGGAGCTTCTTCTGGGTCTCCCTCGCTGGAGCATGGGCCCAAGGACTTGGGCCATCTTCTACTGCTTTCCCAGGTCACAGCAGAGAGCTAGATCAGAAGTGGAGCAGCTGAGTCTTGAACCTGCACCCATATGGGATGCCGGCACTTCAGGCCAGGGCATTAACCCACAGTGCCAGCCCCCTTCAGAATTTCTTGTAATGCTGGTCTGGTGGTAAGTTCTCTCAGTTTTTACTTATCTGGAAAATACTTTATTTCCTCACTTTTAAGGGATAGTTTCACTGCATATAATATTCCTGGTTGGAACATTTGTAAGACCTTGAATATATCATCTCTTCCGGCCTGTAGGGTTTCTGCTGAGAAGGCTGATGTTAATCCAATTGGTTTTCCTTTATATGTAACTTGACACTTTTTTCTTACTGTCTTTAGAATTCTCTCCTTGTCTGTGACTATTTGACGAAAATATGCCTTGGAGAAGACCTCTTT